AAGGAAAGTAGGAGAGCGTGTGTGTGAAAAAAGGTAATTGAACTGCAGTGTTTGCATAAACTACGCATGTGTAGCAGTCATTGCAATTACATCCCACTACTCCTGAAGCTCCAAGGCATTGCTGTGGGCTGCGTGTGGTTTTTTGGGGGGAGCCTGTATGGCAGTCATCTTCAGACCTCACTCGTGCTTCAGTACTTTTGCCTCTTTTTCATGCACACATAACACGACAACATTGAATGCATGTTACTTTTCCTCTGCAGCTTATTGCAGTCCCTGTGGAAAAGCCTTTCAATCAATCTTCCTCCAAGTGTGTAGGGCCCTGAAGCTGGTGATGCTCAAGCAAGTGGTGTAAGAACCATCCTGCGGGCTGGTTTCATACTTGCGCTTGTTCTTGTCAATATTTGTTCAGCTCTGAGGGGAGGCATCAAAACTGGGTCCAAAATGCATTGAATGTCCTGGGCTGGAGGCTTTCCAAGTGTGAGTAAGCCAAATGCCTCTGCTTAGTAGCAAACTCTGCACATTCTCCTTGGATTTGCATCTCTAAACTTGTGCTTCTGTGTTCAGTGTGTTGCTGTTTTGAGTTAAAAACGGTGCAGTTCCTAGCACGGTGTCTGGAAATGAATCTTGGAGCATTGGATACGATCCCGTGCACTTTGGCCAGCAGCAAGGCAGATACTGTGGGGAGGCAAGCACCAGGCTGGCCATGGAAGCCCAGTCACTGAGGGAACTCGAGCTCAGGACTTCTGCCACTCCCTGGAGTTGTGCCTCAGCTTGAGGTTACAGAGGAGCAGGTTTATGGAACACACGTAACTCACAGCTGAAAGGAGGAGCTCACAGCTCCTGGAGCTGCCAGCAGATATTTGCTCATGTAGCACAGTTAAACTCAGTTGTGAATGTTGTAGCTGAATAAATAACACTGACCCTGTGTAAGTGCAGGAAACTTTCAAACTCCTTTATTAAGGACACAAATGAAATGAAACGTTAATCTTGTGAGTTGTATTATTGTCTTTCAAAGTAATTGGCATGATTATGTCTGACTTTGTTCTAAATCTTATCTCCCAGGTAAAATACCAGTACCTCATTTTGTGGTTTTAGTTTCAGGGCCTGCCTTAGACTGTAGAAATGCTGAGTTCTCTTGGATCTGTCTTAGAAATGAGCAATAATTCACTACAGAAGAAGTTCTTTCTCTTGCCTTTCTGTAGGGGTGGGCAGACAGCACCATTGCACTCGCAGTGCAGCAGTGAAGCTGGCCAGGCTTGTCTGTTACTGTGTGTAAAGCTGGAAGAATTGGAGTATCTGTGGGTTTAGGCTGACTGCCACACAGTTCTGGAGTGGAAAAAGCAAGTCTTATACACATGCATTCTCTGCATTTGAACTTAAATTGCATGAGTGAATGGGTTTGGAAAGTGAAATCTTGAGGCTCAAGTGACATGTCGGATGCTATTGCAGTCTGCTCTATCCAAATACAAACCAGATGACTTTGCCTCAGTGTCACCTCCAGGGAAACTTCTCCAGGTCTGGCATTATCTTGGCAATTGCTCCAATGCTGGGGGTCTCCAATTGAGACTGAGCTCAAATATGAGTCTGGGTCCAAAGACTCCAGTCCAGTCCAGAACCTTTTGTACAAACCTTCAGCCTGGAGTGAGCTTTCAAAGTAGTTGAAAATCCCTCAATGGGGTTTTTTTTAGGAAACAGACAATGTTGACTGCACCAGTACCAACATTGCTACTTGAATTGATCTTAACTTGTAAATGGTCTCCTTTTCTTGATGGGTGTTGACATACCACTAAGGCTTTTCCACTTCTCTGCCACGAATAAGTACCTGTTTTAGAGGAGATTTCTTTAATTGTTGGTCTTAATTCCAGGTGGATAAACTGGATGCATCAGAGTCTTTGAGAAAGGAAGAGGAGCAAGCTACAGAAACACAACCTATTGTTTATGGTAATGCTTTAGTTCCTGTGTTATCAATACTGTTTCACGTTTTAAACAAGCCTTCCCTAATCTTGTTTTTTACCTGAGAAGGTCCTGGGAAATGGGAACATTCTCCATGTGAAATCAGGTCTTAAGGAATGTGTTCCAAAATACTAGCTAAGTGCCTCTAGATATGTGCTGTGGCTGCTGAGGTGGGCTGTGGAGTGCAGGATTGAAGGAATCTGGCTCCTTAAGGAAAGGTGTACAGGAGCTGTGCTATTCCAGACTTCCAGCAAGTGGTTATTTGGATCTTGTGCAATATGCTTTATATCTAAAGCATATTTATACCTGCTTTATATTGGGTATTTTCTTTATATCCAGGTTATTCTAGTAAGAGTTTCTTCACTGTAGCATTTTTAGCCATGTGTTGTGTCCTGAGGTTTTGTGGGAGAATGCCCACTGTGGCCCTAAAGAAGCGCATTCCAGGTCAGCAGGGTGAAACATAGAAATACCTCCTGAAAACTTTGGAGGCGTTCTGCAGTGATTTCTCAGCTGGGGAGGAATAAGATGCCGGTTGTGTGTTGCAGGCCAGCCCCAGCTGATGCTGACAGCGGGACCCAGCGTGGCAGTTCCTCCGCAGGCACCTTTCGGCTACGGCTACACGGCCCCTCCGTACGGGCAGCCGCAGCCCGGCTTCGGCTACAGCATGTGAGGCGCAGCACAAGCCAGTCTGGAGCAGCGACTTTTCTTACTGAAACTCCACCGTCCCTCCCCGCTTTAACTCATAACAGGGAAAAGCAAAGAGTTCTGCCTCGTGTTCTTGTAACCTTTATTTCATGAAGGACTGTTTTTTCTAGCGCAAACGATTTGAATCACTTCTGTTAAATCTTTTTCACATTCCATGTCATTTAGACTTTTATTTTCAGAAGGGGAATAGTTTAAACGACTTTGTTCAAGTGGGCTTTTGCAGGACTGCTTATTACCATTAAGTCTATTGTGAAGATTCTGATTTGCACTCTATAGTGTTACACTCTAATATTGAATCTTAAGTTCATTGTATGTGAGCAGCTTACGGTATGTACTGTCTATTCTAAATGCATTTAAGTCTCACTGTATATTTGGAGAAAGCTAAAGCCAAGATACTCGTATTTGACCTTGCAAGACTGCTGACAAGAGACAACACTAATCAGCATATCCTCCCTGGGTTGGATTGCATAGCTCTAAAAGAATTTAAAATGCGTACAGACAACCTTGCCTGACTTAAAATGAGTAAAAGTTTTGGGTTTTGTTTTTTTGGGTTTTTTTTTCCCCTTAACCTATGCAGGTTTTTCCAGTTATGCATATAGAAAATGCTAGTGTCTTTTTGCTCACTCCATATGTAACAGATGACCTTATGTTGTGCTGTATCCTGTGCTTTTGTGGGACATTCCATTCAGGAACAGAGCACCATGATTCCAATCTGTGTATTTACTAACCCTGCCCTGAGGTTTGTGTATGTTGGATATTGTGGTGTTTTAGATCACTGTTTTGAGTGTACAGAAGAGAGAATTCAAGCATATTGCTGTTCAGTTTTGTTTGTGCAATTTGAAATTACGCAATTTAAAAATAAATTACTGGACTGTGGACATGCTGCATAGTGGTAGCTTCACTTTACTGTCTTCAAAAAAAAAAAGACCTTTGGACTCAAACCAAGTATTCCAGTGCTGGTAGTGGGGGGCAACGCAGGCGTGTGCAGCCAGGGGTCTGAGGGGCCAGCAGCAGAGCAGCAGTGGGGACCAGTAGTGGGGTCTTGCACTGAGGGGGCAATACAGGAAAATATGTAATGCTTTTTCTAGAGAAAGATTATGCCAGAGAGAAGAAAATAGCACTTTTCACCAGTTGGCTGCACTGTGGTCAACTCCAGCATATTTACCAGATGATACATTAGGATTGTAGTAGGCTGTGCCAGTTCAATTGAGATCATGTTCTAGGTATGTAAATTGCCTTAAACATATTTAGCTTCAAATAAAATTGACTTAAATGTTTCTTTATGAATACTGTCATATTTGAGTGTAACGAGTCTGACAGCACTGGCCAGATTGCCAACAGCTCTAGAACCTCCTGTCTCTTAACCAGGAGCTGCTCTGGGCATCAGGATCCAGAACTCCCTCACTCCCTTTTCCTCCTGTGAGCTCCACAGCTGTGCTGTGATCCTGGGGCTGCAGCACTTCCATGGAATGGGGCTGGCAGGGGCTCACCTGCCCCAGGCTCTCTGTGGTCAGCAGGGACCAGTGAGTCTCTGAAAAGGATTATGCCTCTAAGAGGTGCAGTATAAAAACATTCCCATCCTCTGTGTTTATTGGCATTTCAGTCCCTCTGCCATTCCCTCTGTGGATAGCTGGAGATGGAGATAAATCCTTTTCCCTCTCCTACAAACTGTTTTCACAACACTCAGCTGAGAGGTTGGCAAAGTTACTTAACAGCAGAACTCTCACAAACTGTACGAGCAGAATTTACTGGAACCCCCAAGGTGCTCTGAACTGTGCAGTAGTATCTGTAACAGGATGCTTCCTTAAACTCAGGAGCACCTGTTAATCCCAAGAAAACCAGGATTTATATCTGTCCCTGAGTGCCCAGTTGTTTATATGGAGGGTAACTCCCCACACCTTGGCTTAACTGCACATTTTTGCACGTGTAGGAGCTGCACAGACCCCTCTGGAGGGAAGCTCAGCTTACAGCTGCTCCCCACAACTGTTTACTGGGCTGGGCTGCAAATCCAGTTGAACTGGTCAGCCTGGTACCAGTTACAAGTTGTTGCAGCAGTTGTTTGGGCAGAAGTTGGCTACAGCTATCCCCAAGCTCCAGTTCTTAACTGCTTCAGCAGCTGAGCCTTTCTCAATTACAGAATGCATTCACTACAGAAAACAGGAGAAAGAGGAAACACTTAAAGTCATCAACCAATGTGCAAAATCCTCAAGCAATTGCACAAACTGTAAATTTACTGGGTTCCTTCTTATGCCAGCTCTGCTTTCTTCAACTGCCCTAAACCTAGAATATTCTTTCCCACTTTTGGAACACAAGCTAAGAGAAACTCATGATTTACAAATGAAATCTTACAAAACTTGCTTGTTTTATTAACACTGAGGGAAGATACCGAAAAAAAAAAAACCAACTTATATTTTTTATCCCTTCAGTACTGACATACATGAACACATCCCAGTTTAGAAGAGTTTAAGGTGACCAGAAACTTGATCTATGACATCAGCTGGTCCTGGTCCGATCCCAAGGACTGTCCTGGAGCCTGGAGCTATCTGAGTACGCCCAGCATCCTGTATCAAGCTCACAGTCAGCCCCAGGCGCTTCGCCTCAGCCAGCAGCTGCACCAGAGTCTCTTCATCGGGAGCTTTGAGGACCACTTTAGGTTGTCCACAATATTCCCACTGCTTCAGGAGCTCGGGATTCCTTTTGTGAACCTGCTTGTAGGCAGAGACAGCAGCATGGGAGCACTGTGCTGCTACTTTGCCTTTGCCCATCTTCAGGTCGTTGCGGACGATCAGCACCAGCTTGAGCTCCCCGGACTCTCCCATGATGTCGGCCTCGTCCCCCAGGCCGTTGGAAGGTTCTGGAATTATTCCAGCTCTGGGCTTCCTGCGGAGCCTCCCCCGGATGCCCCAGCCCAGGCACACGCCACACACGACCCCGATGATGACATTCAGGAACTCGGGCTCGAAGAGAGAAATCATGGTGGATTTTGGAGACTGCCTCTGGAAGGGGGGAAAGACAGAATTTACTTGAGTATTTCTCAGCTTCTGAGAGCATTTTGTGTGCTCTCACCTGGTTTCCCACTTGGTTATTTGAAGACAAAGAACATTCGTTAGAAACACAAAGGAACAGTTCCTCAGACACAGCTTTCTGACTGCAAACACCTCACTGGTGCTGGGCTTTGACTCAGAGCTAAGATAAAATGGCAAATTATCATAAAGTCAGAGAATGGTTAGTGTTGGAAAGGACCTTGAAGTTCATCTGTTCCACCCTCTGCCATGGCCAGGGACACCTTTCACTATCCCAGATTTCTCCGAGCTCTGTCCATCCCGGCCTTGGACAGGGATGGGGCAGCCACAACTTTTCTGGTGCCAGAGTCTCACCAGCCTCACAGGGAAAAATGGTTTCCTAATATGCAATCTAACCCTCCTCTCTGTCAATGTGACCCCATTCCCCCTTTCCTGTCACCCCAGGCCTCTGCGAACAGTTTTGCCTCACCTCTCTTGTAAATTCCCTTCACCTACCGAAGGCCACAGTTAGTTCACCCCGAAGCTTCTCTTCTCCTGGCTGAACGCTCCCAATTCTCTCATGTCAAAATTACACCTGAAAAACGGCGAAACGCCGGAGGTTTTAAGGCGATACCCCAAATTCGGCTGAGGAGCGGGGGCCGCGCTGGAGCCCGAGCGGATAAGGAGGGCGGGGACCGGGCGGGACCGAGCGGGGACCGAGCGGGGACCGGGCGGGGACCGGGTGGGACCGAGCGGGGACCGAGCGGGACCGAGCGGGGACCGAGCGGGACCGAGCGGGGACCGAGCGGGACAGGGCGGGGACCGAGCGGGGACCGGGACCGAGCGGGGACTGAGCGGGGACCGAGCCCTGCGGGGACCGAGCCCGAGCGGGGACCGAGCGGGACCGAGCGGGGACCGAGCGGGACCGGGCGGGGACCGAGCGGGACCGAGCGGGGCCGAGCGGGGACCGGGTGGGACCGGGCGGGGACCGAGCGGGGACCGAGCGGGGACCGGGCAGGGACCGAGACCGAGCGGGACTGAGCGGGGACCGAGCGGGGGCCGAGTGGGACCGAGCGGGACCGAGCGGGGACCGAGCGGGGGCCGAGTGGGACCGAGCGGGACCGGGTGGGGACCGAGCCCTGCGGGGACCGAGCCCGAGCGGGGACCGAGCCCTACGGGGACTGAGCCCTGCGGGGACCGGGCGGGGACCGAGCGGGGACCGGGCGGGGACCGAGCGGGACCGGGCGGGGACCGAGCGGGACCGGGCGGGGACCGAGCGGGACCGGGCGGGGACCGAGCGCTGCGGGGACCGAGCGGGGACCGAGACCGAGCGGGGGCCGAGCCCTGCGGGGACTGAGCCCTGCAGGGACCGAGCCCTACGGGGACCGAGCACTGCGGGGACCGAGCCCGAGCGGGGACCGAGCGGGGACTGAGCTCTGCGGGGACCGAGCCCTGCGGGGACTGAGCTCTGCGGGGACCGAGCTCTGCGGGGACCGAGTCCCGCGGGACCCCGCGGCCCTCAGCGCGGAAATGAGGAGCCCCGGCGGCGCCTCCCCTCCGCGCTCACCTGCCGCGGCCGCCCGGAGCTGACGGCAGCGCGGCGCTCGGGAAGTGACGGGGCCGGGGCGGGCCGTGCCGGGCCGGGCCCAGTTCCGCGCTGTGCCGGCCGAGCGGAGCTGCGGGAGCGGGGTGAGTGCGGGCCGGGTCTCGGCAGCGGCCGCTCCGCGCGGAGAGCCCGCTCCCCTCACGGCTCGGAGGGGAGCCGCGGTGCTGTGGGAGCCGTGTGGGAAATGGGGGCGGCTGTGAGGGGAGGTGCTGCTCGCCGGCCTTCAGGGCGAGAAGTGAGCCGCCGCCGCCTCACCCCGCTCCCAAAGCCCCGGGAAGGTGGGTGGAGGAGCCGCCCTGCTCCGGCCCCGGGGACGGTGCCTGGTGGCACGGGGAGGAATGTGTCCTTCTCCCTGCGGAGAGGCAGAGAGCCATGGGCTTTGTCTGCTTTTCCCCCGCATCCCTGCCTGGAGGGCAGCTGCGAGGCCCGAATCCCTGGGGACGTTTCTGCTGACTGGGGTTAAGCGCCTTGTCTGCTTTTTACTCCTCTAGCCAATGTCATGTGGTGTTTGTAGCACATATTAAAGCAGCAAGATTCCCGTTTTATTCCAATTTTGCCTCTCAGGCGCTTGGCAGGTCAGGTAGGTGACCTGAGAGAACGGGTGATAAGTGTGTTTGATTGTTACCCTGATTCTTAAGATTTTCTAAAGCCTTCTGAGTTTACATTCTTGTAGAAAACTTTCTCACACAACTTTCTGTAAACAATCTATTGTTCTACATTCCTCCATAGAGGCAGAGAAATTTAATATACTAATAGTTTATCCAGTATCATTAGAGAAGTGACATATTCATCCTCCAATCCACTGTCACCTTTAGAAAAGTATAAATGCTAAAACCAGAAAATAAACTTCCTCTTTTTCACCTTTACAATAACAACAGCTCGCGTTGTGCTTTCACGTGTCCTATAATAACACTTGATAGCAGCTATTTATCTATAAAGTGCTGTGAATCCAGGTTATCCCCTTCCAACTGCACCTATGACATTTCCTCAGGGTTGTCTCCTGCCCTTGTTTTCTCTGCTCTGTGCTTACCAACAAGTGGGTATCCTGGTTTAGTTAATGCTGACAATGTGGGTTGAGGTGGAGAAAGTGTGGTGTGATTTCATGCCTTGGACCACGTGTTGTGCTTGGGCAGTGGATTTTGGTGTTGTTTTGCTGTTAGGAATTGTGCTCTTTTAGAGATAGTTTCACCTCAGTTTGATGGGGGATTCTCATGCTTCCTAACACCTTATGATAACATATGTCAGATCTTCTTGATGCATTGATTTTCCCATTGAAACAGTCTTTGTTATGTCAGTCCTCCTTCTTCCAATCCATTATTTCTGCAGCATGGAATAGACTTTCCTTTATTCCTTATGGGATAAGTGACAGTTGTAATGATGGCTTCATCCCCTGTTTTCAGATGAGGGTTTCAAAAGCCAGCTTCCAGTTGTGCAATGGGAGGTGAGCTCTCTTTATTAGTCTGAGCTTTGTTTCGTGTCCTGCTGAGCTGCTGAAATCACTGGTGTTTGTAATTGCTGTGGGGAAGGGTAGGAGGAGACTCAGGAGCTTTCAAGTGGGTGAAAGCAATGAGGAAGGTGAGTAGGCTGCAACAACTGCACTCTTTCAGCCTTAAATCTTTTTTTTTCTAAGTTGTTTTCTTGGAATTCCTTCTGAATGTTATAACTGCCTCTGACTGCACCTCGTGAACAGCTCTCCTTAGGGTGATCTGTGCCATTAATGCATGCTTGGAGATTCCTTATTTCTTAAAAACCTGTGTGTTTAAAACTAGAAAAAAACCCTGTAATTTCTGATGTGCTGTGATGGGAGACAGAGTTATCTGCAGGTTGGAACTTTTAACTTCTCTTCCTTGTGGACAAATCTGCGCTGGGTGGACTTTGCTATTCCCCGAGGACAAAGGGCACAACCTTGAAGGTTTTGCAACACTGAGCTTTTTGTACCAGCTTCAAACACAATCCTGGGACAGCACCAAAACCACTAAACCTTGCTGGTTTTGGTGCTGCTTGGGCTAGAGGGGGCAGGAGATGTTCTTAGTGAGGCAGGCAGTTGTTCAGGGTATTTCAAGTTTATTAAAATAGTATTTTTCTTCCTCCCAGGGCTCAGGATTGGCCTCTGTGAACCTTGTCTGGGCAGTGTGTCCTCACTGGATGGCCAAGTGTGAAATCTGAATTGGTTGCATTTAAAGAATGTTCTTTTGAAAAGCAGAATTTAGCTCAGGAGCTTCTTTCAGCCACTCTGGGCTTTGTCAGGTCCTTGTGTTCATCCCTTTCCATCTGTGCTGTGCCTCCTCTGCATGTCCTCTTATCCCTGTGTCTCACCTTTTCATCTGTTTACTGCACAGCATCTCTACTCTTTATTATAGCACCCGATTCTACTGCTGGATGTAATCAAAATTATTGTTTCACCAGAAGAAAATACGCCAAAAAGATCAGTTTAATATATGTGTCTTTAATGGCAGGGACAGAACTTTCCATTAACTCAAAATAAGTTGCATGGCATCCCTGAAGCTCACGTTACAACAGTCTTTCCTAAAAGGCTCATTTTTAAAAAAAAAAAAATTGGGAATTTTAACTCTAAATTCTAAGATGATTTATTTGGGTAGGAATTGGAAAATAGGTCTGGTGTACAGAGGCATAACCCACAAAATGGAAACCTGTGGTCTTTAACTGAATTACTTCTCCTTTGAGGAATTAAACTATTTTAGTCAGGAAAACATTGCTAGTATGGGAATAAATGCACTCATATCAAAATAAATCTGTGGAGATTTGGAACATCTTTCAGATGTGGCCTCGTTTATTTTAATTGAATGCTTCCCAGGAGTGCTGAAGGACTGGGAAAAAAAAAAAATCGAGCAGTTACTTTTTCTATTTTCTGTCATCTTCAGGAAAGTCATTAACCTCCAAGTGAGGGGCTGTGTCCCTGCAGTGTCACATGAACGGTGCTCTCTTGCTCTGTAGGGGCAGCAGCTTTGCAAGAGGAGTGCTGCACAGCTGAGGAGTGGTTGGCTCTTCCACTGCCTTCAGGTCCTGGAGAAGTGGTGGAGAGGGAATAACTGTGAGGAGCTGGAAGGGGTAGGTAATGTTTCACTTCCAAACTGATCCCATCCTTCTCCTAAATGAGTTCCTGTGCCAGGCAGTCTTTGGCTTTCGAGGGAAGGTGCTCTCCAAGCTGTTTCATTGCCAGGGAGTTGTTAACTTATTCTCTCTCTAGAGCACTTGATGACTGAAAAAACCTCCTCTCACAGATGTGCAGCACTGTCTAGATTAGTGCAATTTTTTACCCACCTGGAAAGGCTGAAATGTAATCCTTTTTTCTCCTTATTGTAACTGGGGTGTAGAAAAAGAAGAAGGAATATCAGAAAAGTTGAGGAGAAAGAAGCAGCAGGAATGGAACATTTGGCTTTAAATGTAACAGCTAACTGGAAATTATTTATTGCTGATGTGGTTGTGGGGAACAACAAAATGCTTCAAGCTCCAGCTCTGGTTCTTGGAGTTGTGTGAGCAGGAATTGATGGAGATGAGAGTCAGGGCTCTTTCAGTAAGAAGTGGCAAGAATTAGTGATTCAAGCGATGTCTGGGAGAGCAGTGAGATCATGCAAACAGCTTTCTTGTTGTTCCAGCACACAGGAGAGGAGTCCTCCAAAAATCCTTAGTACAGAACATGAGTCCACGTTCTGCTCCTCCAGGTTAGAGTGCAGACACCCATCTGCCTGGTCCAAAACTGGTTCCTTTTGCATACGTGTACCCAACCCTTGTGTGCTTCCACAGCCTCCCCAGAGCTTCAGAGAAGAGACTTTTGTCCTTTTTTTTCTGATTACAGAGAGCAGATACTGCAGTGTCCAATTTTGCTGTGTTCTCATGCTCTGATAGCTTGTTTTGCTTTGTCTCACTTATACTGTGAAGTGCCAGTCACAGTTACTAGAAACCCTTTTTGTTGATCAATTTGCATTTTTGACTATCAATAATTGTCTTTTTATACTTCATGTTTTGGGTTGCACTAAAGCTCAATGGTGTATTGTCAGCTCTTTGTTCAGCCCTACAAAGCACTTCTTGTGTGAACACATCTCTAACATGATCTCAGCCACCCTGATACAAAAACTGGCCACAGTTGTTTTCCTTGCTCTTTTAAATAGTTTATTTTTATGTTTGCTGTTAAGTACTCCATGTAGTAGGCAATTTTATTTTTAGAGATGGGCTCTGTGTCTTTCCCAGCATCTGTCAGAAGTGAAGTTCTGTTTAGCAGATGGAATTTAATTTCCTGTGGCGAGCTCTCATGGATTGGGTGTAGACTTCAGAATATGGAGTGAGTTAATGAAGGATAAACTCCATTTTGGGTCAGACTCCCACTCCAGTCGATCCTTGTGGGGAGGCATTAGTGCAGGACTGGTGGTTCTAATGGGCATCAAGCAGCACAGCAGATGAAGGGTGCTGAGCTGAGGGGATGTGCATCTTCCAGTCCCTTTGCTAAGATGCTTTGAATATAATTAGACTTGGTTAAACCAGGGAGATTCTTTTCTGGAGCCAGGAAGGGTTTGCAGCCCATTCAGCCCTGCCATATGATAGGAATCCCATCTCCAAGTCAGCTGTGTTTTTAAATAGGAAATTTTAGAGCTTTTCTGCAGAATGGTTGAACTTTAAGACCTTCTTGACAAGTATTTGTCCTATAGAAGTGTGGAAGGGGATTATTTATCTGCTTCAGTGCAAACATTGACTTGTGTACTTGAGGTGGTGTTATGCAAAGCTAATCCTGGATTAGTGCCTTTCCAAGCAGGCAGGGTAGAAGTGGCTCTGGCAGTTGAGCTCCTGGAAAAAAAGCTGTCCTTCCTTGGGAACAACACACCTGAGACCCCCAGAGATGCAGGAGTTTCATGGATTGCACTGGAACTCAGTGTTGTGCATAGCCAGGGCTTTAGCATCAAACATGGAGAGCAGTTGGCATTGCACTAAATGAACTTTTTTGGAGTGTAATTAAGCTGAAAGC